AAACCCTATGAGGGTTGCTATGAGTCAGAATCAACTAGAGAGCAGTGAGTTTGGGTTTTTTTATGACATTTTCAAAAATTCACATGGGCCTCTCTTTTTCTCCCAGTGATTTAAGAGATAAAATGAACTACAGAATTTCCCTTACGTTTCTGTTTACCATGTGTGAGATAGAAAGAGCGTGGGATTTAATTACAGGATCAGGGCCAACCTTAATTTCCCCATTTAGCCCCTTAGCCAAGTCATTTCACTTCCCTGAAGCTAATCTTTGATGACAATACGATCTGCTCTGATTAGCTATCTTGGCAGATTCTTACGGAGATCCAGTGATTAATACATGGGAATTTGCTTGGTGACGTTAACTACCTACATATTAGATTTAATAACAAATTTTCCCTTTAAAAGTATGGGGCACATAAACTTACCAAGTTTAAAAATAAACCTGGGCAAAGAAAAGCAATTGAATATGTCATTGCTCATCTGTTGACACAGTGTTACAAAGGAACTCAGCCAGTGAATGGGAACGCGGGTGGTTTACCAGATCTCTGTGGATGAAGCTGTTCCTCTCCAGGTACTCCATCCCTTCACACACATCCTGACACATGCTCAGCAGCATGTCTCTGCTAAAATGGCCTTGTCTCTGTCGAAGGAAATTCAGAAGGCAGCCCCTTTCCATGAACTCAGCAACAATGTAAATTGGTTTTTGCTGTGTACAGACACCGTAAAGCTGTACTAACTTCGGGTGTGTCAATTTCCTGGCAAGGAAGATAGGTATACAGAAAGATATTTAGTACAGGAAAAGAAACCAGCATAGGTATTAGCTCGTAAGGGGTCAGTTTTTAATTTTAAAAAAAGGAGGAAGCAGAAAGAAGATAACGACTCACATCATCAGTTTGGCTTCTTCTATGAAGTCCTCCTCACACATCGCGCCTTCCCTAATAGTTTTGATTGCTACTTTGTACTGGGCCCGCCATTTGCCAAGCCTCACCACTCCAAACAGTCCACTACCCAATTCCCTCATAAAGGTCAGCTCTGAAGGGTTAATCTCCCATTTTTCTGTAAGACAGAGAGGGAAAGTGATAACATTTAGTAAGGAGAACACAGTGTGAATCAGTGAAAAAAAAGAAACTACAACCAAACTCAACCTCAAAGTTACAGGATAATGCAATTACCAGTGAAACACAGAACAAGACTTGCAACCTGTATCTGAACTGCAAAGGGTGTTTTTCCAACCCTGGGATGGATGGTCTCCCATCTCAGCTGTCTCAACACAAGCAAGTGAACGGAAGAGGCAAAAAGATGCTACATACGAGGCCAATAATAATATTGATTGCTTGGAAGTTAATGGTGCTTTTAAAAATCAATAAATAATAATAAAAAAATACTTCCTCCTTTACCATTCTTCCCTTCTGGGACTTTTTTCTTTTTAAATTCTATCAGGTTGGAAAGAATTTACCCAAACCAACAGTGTTGCCATTGACTTGGTTCCAACTCATGGAGACCCCATGTGTCACAGAGCAGAACTGCTCCATAGGGTTTTCTTGGCTGTAATCCTTACTGAAGCAGATCTCCAGGCCTTTTGTTCTGTGGTACCTCTGGGTGAGTTCAAACCACCAAACTTTTGCCTGTAGTCCAGCATAAATTGTACTATCCACGGACCTCAGAAAGAATTTATCCTGCTATTTAAAAAGCGTCTGCTTGAAGCCACAGTCAAGTTGGATGGATTCTCTGTTACCGCCATCCTTACATTTCTGTGATAACCTCAAAGACGGTGAGAACCAGAAGAGCTTTGATTTACTTCAGATAACATAATAATACTTATTTTTCACTGACATAAGTTTTCTATTGAATTATGAATAATGATAAAAATAGAAAACCTAGGATTACCAGCTATAAATAACAATAATCTAAATACAAAAACAAACCCACACTATAAACTTACAGGATCTCTGGTGGCATAGTGGTTAACATATTCAGCTACTAACCAAAACGTTAGCAGTTCAAATCTTCCAGCTGCTCCATGGGAGACAGATGAATCAGTCTGCTTCCATAAAGATGTACAGCCTTGGAAACCCTACAGGGCGATTCTACTCTGTCCCATAGGGTAACTATGAGTTGGAATTGATTCAATGGCAATGGGTCTTTATAAACTTATAAAAACAGTTCCACTATGTGAAATTCTATATGACAAAATTTGTCTTCGGATAATGGATTCTTTTCAAGAATAATTAGCCAATGCAATTATAAAATGAGTGTTACCGTAGCTGAATCCTGCAGTGGTTGGTGCATTCTTCCCTTTTGTACTAACTGGGTACCGTAGCCTTGTGACAAGCCCTAGAAAACAAAGAGATTATGTAGTCAAACTCGTTCTTAATTGTTCTGAATGGCAAAATACTAAACTAGAAACTCACTATAAAGTTCATTCATTTTTTCATTTACTGATCATCTTCTATGTGTACATATGACACAGAGCTATTAGCTGTGAAGTTAAGAATGTGGGAAAAAGTAAAATTTTTGCAGGAATAGAAGGGGCTATATGGAGAAAACATCTTAAGAATGAAGTTCCTACTTGCAGTGCTAGTAAAAAAGCAAAAGAAAGGAAGGCAGAAAGGAAGTGGGGACGTGGGAGGCAGGCAGAAAGGTAGAAAGGGGAGACAGAAGGAAGAAGCTCCTACCCTCTGAGTTGATAATGGCACATTTTTATGGGAAGTGAACAATTGAAATATATCTATACTCTCATTCATTACAGAAGACGTTTTCTTTGAAATACTACAGTGTGTATCAGGGCCCACACCAGATCATTTTAGGAATTGCTTTATATTTGAAACAAGTTTTTAACAGCTCACTTACCTGCTGCATTGTGCTTATGATACTCAATAATCTCAGGGATTGAGCCAAAAGCGTGTTTTTCTGCCAGGTAATACTTCTTTGGAGATGTTGTTGTTTCCTTTATATGATAATGCCTGAAACCTGATGAACCTTCTCTATATCAAAAGACAAAATGTGTCAGAACTAAACTGGAATGACAGAACTTCATTCTTAAGATGTTTTCTACCTATGGTCCTTTCATTCCCTGTATACATTTTATTTTCCCCACATGCTCCTTAAAGTTTTTGAAGAGGTCACTGATCACATACTTGGTTCCTTAAAGAGAATATTCCCAAATTCAGCATCAGTTGAACATCTTCAAATAGATAGTAATTGCTCTTGCTTTTTGTTCCTGCTGTTGTGAACATGGACCTGTCTAGAGCACTTACGTCACTAAAGTGAATACATTAAACTTGTAAAGGTACTAAAATTTCACTTTAGCTAGCTTTCTAGAAAATGGGTCTTCTCGAGTCATCTTTTGCTAAAAACTCTCAAGATCACTCCCCATTGCTACTAGTGATTAATCTCAAACTCCTTAACTTGGACATGGCCGGCCTCTCTTGACCTCTCCAGGCTTCTGCCTCCTCCCTTTACTCTGCACTTCCCACTCTACACTGACGTACCCTCATTTTAGTCCCTCAAACTCACCATACCTTCTCTCACCTCTGGGTCACTGTACTAACAATTTCTTGGGTCAGAGACTCTCCCTGCCCTCCAACTTTCGCCTGCCTTACTTGTCAGGTTTCAGCTTGGGTGTTACTAAGAAACCATTTGGGATAACTCAGATGTGTCTGGGTACTGAAGCACTCCCTGAACCCTGCACTGACCCCTTTCATAACACTCATTAAGTACCATGCCTGCCTGCTTGCTTCTCTGTAGCTACTACTAAGCTACTTGACCAGTCTGTGCCTACTTCGATCACTATGGTCTCCTCAGCGCTTAGTACAGTGCACAATAACTATCTGTTGAATGTTACTAACATTTCTACAGCCATTCTCAATGACATATGTACAAAAAAGTATGGGGGGAATATTGAAAATATGAACACAGAAAAACAGTATAGACTTTAGATGGGAATGATCAGATTTTCTTTTTTAATGCTGAAATGCAGCATAATTTTTTGAAAAGCATGAAACCATACAAACTCTAAGGGAAGCTCATACAAAAATTCTAAGTTGACAGAAGAGAGCGGCACTACTTACCCTCCAAATTTTGTATAAAGGGAGACGGTATACATGCCGGGCTGACTGGAGTCTCTTACCATAAAACCACCTTCTTTATCCTAAAATCCAAGTATAATATATTTTTTTCACTCCAATAACAAATATCAATATCCAGAAGAAGATTCCAGAATCCAAATTTAAGATTTTATGATTATTCTCCTTTTCTGGAAAATCGGCTTTGGAGAGGTGCAACCATACCAGCAGGGCTCCCGGGTCTCCAATCCACCTGACTTTCTACTAGTCTTCACCTTAACAGTCCGTGAGATTAGTTAAAGTAACCACACTCTCATTTCCCCTCAATCACAAATCCTCACATACACTGCTGTTTCAACAAGGCAATCTCTAAGGATGCTCCCAGAATGAACAGACAGGATTTTATGATTCCTGTAGGTCCTGGACATGTGGGAAAACAGTTATTAAAAAACATATTTCTTAATGATTAGGTTTCATTTTATCCATTTCTTATATTTGTCATAAGCTTTGAAACTTGACTCAATATCATTTCCATCTACCTAGTATTTTTCCTGCAAATATCTCAGTGCTTTTAATAAGAACATATTTAAAAATCCTTAATCCCCTTGGAAGTCAATGTTTAACTTCACTCTTTATAAAACGAAGAGATGGAGGCCCAATGCAGAGAAAATCAGACAGCAGAAACAGCACAAAATGACTAGAGGGTGAATCCCTGTTAGGTTCTGAACTGAAGATCAAGAAATAGAAGCCACCAACCTCAAATACCTCCTTACCAAAAATAACACCACCAAGCTGTAGCATTTAAATTGATTTAAGATGAAAAATATGGTTAGTAGTTGAAAAAGAAAACAAATTTTATTCTTATTCATGTATAGGGAAGACAACGGAATTAAACAAATCCCCACAAATAAATCTGATAAGCACAATTAGGGACAATAAATATATTGTTATTAATGATACAATAATACATAATTATTATTTATAATATAGAACATGACAATATAATAACAATTATAATTAATTGATCTAGTTAACAAGTATAATACCCCTTGCTGTTGAATCAATTCCAGCTCATGGTGATCCCGTGTGCTACAGAACAGAACTGCACCACACAGTTTTTTGGCTGCAATTTCTTATGGAAATAGATTACCAGGACTTTCTTCCACAGAACCACTGGGTGGGTTTGAAGTATCAACTTTTTGGTATTAGTCAAACACAGACCATCTGTGCCACCCAGGGACCTTAAAAAGGATAATTTTATTGAGTATTTACACTGTTTTAGTATGTTCTGATATGTTAATTCATTTAATCATCAGAACAGTCCTATGAGGTAGATACTAGTATTATCTCCATTTTACTTCACAGATAAGTAAATGAGGCCACTGAAAGGTTTGATAGCTTGACTCTGATCATAAAGAGGCAAAGCCAAGGTTTGTACTTAGTCCTTTCATTGCAGACTGCACCAGGAAGGCATGAATCTTGTGGGGAGTGGGCGTGGTTATATATAATTTGAATCAAGCAAAATCAACCTGCTCTTGCTTTCTTTAGGTAAACTATAGGAAGAACAGCTCAACAAAATCTTGGTGGTAGCAATCAGCAAGAGATAAAATGAGAAAGCATGGCTTTAAAAGACTGGGCACTAGTATTAAGTAGAACAGCAAGATCATAAATGCAGAAAATTTTAGTGATCTTCTTCTAAACTAAATTCCTTATCCTACAGATATGGAAGTAAGACTAGACAGACATAGTTAGACTCGGGTCTCCTTACTTGGTCCAGTGTATTTTCCTCTGTACTATATTTTGGTCATTAGTTTTTATTTCTTTTTAAAGTGCAAGAATTTCAGCACATTTATCTCTAAAGGCAATACTGTATTAAAACTTCCTTTATGAAAAAGGTACCAAGACTCATAAAGATGCTGAAAGACTTCCAAAAACTCAAAATGCCTTATACTGAGGTGGCAATGAAGGGGTTAGAGAAGAAACAGGACAGCTTGGTAATCTAGTGATGAGGCTTGAGGGCTTCGGCTGGATGGGAAGTGACAGAAATTTGAACGAATTAGGAAGACTTGTTCCCTTGTTCAACCTGCAGTCAGTCCCTGAGCCCCTT